TTCGATGTGCCTTAAGTCTTCTCGTCCCTCAAGAAAGAGGATCTGTGATGACTCTGGAAAAAGTTCACAAGCCCAGAACAAATTACTTGCCACGTGACTGCCGACTTACCGTCAAATCATCAGTCAGTGGAACTCATTACCATAACAGATGGTCGACGCATTGAAAAAAAAGCTTGAGAAAATAAGATATCAAAACTGCGGGAATTAACAAAGGGCAACCTGTTCTTTCCAAAAATGAAAGTGAAAAAAATAGTAATCTATTGCCGGACTTATTGGACATGCAACTAAAGGTCGTTTGCTCGTTTTCACCATTTGCGTTGTAAGGCATTTAGAACTATCCTCTTCTTGTTCCGCCTATCAGTTTGTCTTTGTCTTATGGTTGTATTATTTCTGATTGTTATCGAATACTTTCTCTCATAAACGTAAGTGCATTCTATGCGCCCACTGAATCGTCGGATCACACGTTGCTCCTCACACTCTACCAGCACAAAGTACCTTCTGGTTAAACGCAGACTTACCAAAGGCTGGAGTTACAGCGTTATCGAAACCAGCTGTCATTTTCCTTTGCTTTGTGATTTAATTACTTATCTTAAGAGAATTGTGATATGCCTTCCAGTGTTATCCTAAATTATTACGAGTCTCTTGTGCACAGAGATGATTTAGATACATTGAACGAAGGTTGTTTCGTCAATGACAACATAATTACATTCTATCTGGAATATTTACGTCATACAAAACTGTGTCACGCGTCAAATATCCTACTTATGGATCCAGCCGCATCTCAACTTTTAAAATTAGCGGATGAAGAATCAGTAAAATTGGTATTGGATCCTTTAGAACTGAAGTCAAAGGATTGGATATTCCTAGTGGTCAATGATTCTGCTTCACGAGTTTCATCTGGTGGATGCCATTGGTCACTATGCATCTATTCACCACTTCTAATGCACGGCTTTTACTTTGACTCCTTGGACTATAGTCCCAACTTTTCAGGGGCGAGAATTCTGTGTAACAAACTATCCACATTTTTAGGTAATTCTGTCGTAGATATTGAGCTGCCTAATGTCATGAAGCAGAATAACGGATATGATTGTGGAATATTTTGCATAGTATTCATAGAAATAATATGTGATATGATTCTGAAAGGTGATATGTCTTGGCAGACAGGTCTGTCGAACGACATGGTTTCCCATCAAGTAATTCACAAAAGGAAATCACTATTAGAATGTATCAATAGATTATCAAGAGCAGATGCGTAGGCTGATCATCAAGATTCCTAGAAGGGTGTTGCTCAGTAAACAGGCAGACCTGAGGTCTGTTGATATTTTGCTACTCACAGATTATTTATGTGCTATATTTTACCCCAATATACTATGTAAACAATATGTCTTCTATTCACAAGTCTATTTGTTCGCATAGATGGGCTTGTCACGTAGACGGAAGTTGGGATATATTAAGATTCACTGTTTGTATTCTTTTTGCATTCTACGTCTCTGGTGAGGGTCACCTAGTCATTTTAATAATTGCAAGGATCTTGAGACGAAGTCGTCAATCGATTGTTACTTAGGTTCTCCGTGTATCTGAACTTGCGTAGCAAAATATCTTGGTGCCTTGAAATTCATCACTTAGATTATTCACGACCGCGGTCTAAATTTGCGTAGATACTCTTTGGTGAGTATTATTACCGCTTTCTATTTTTATTCATGAAAATCAGCTAAGCATAATCAGGAGGAACAAATGTAGACTGTTCTAGTTCCTTAATATCAGGAATACGTTAATCCAGGCATATCTGAAATGAATATCTAGTTCGGCCATAAATCTTAGACATTTTAAATTTGAATACATCAGATTTCAAAGGGATTTTATGTAGTAGTAAGTTCCGACGAATGACAAACCGAAAGTTAAATGGTTTTCTTAGTAGTTATAAATTATGTGGTTAGTGAAAAAACTGTTCACTGATTTTCAAGCTATAAAGCTTCAACCTTTTATATTACCGCTAATACTTCTACTATTTATTTGTGCTAGAGTGGTATGTATGTACGTACCGTTTTACATTGCAGCTGACTGACGAAAATTATATGTAGCTTCTAGTTGAAATCTACAAGTATTTAGTACTAATCCTTTTACTATGACGATTTTGCTGGGATTAAAGAGTGCTGAGCGTTCCTTAAATCATTTGTTAGTTGGGAACACCATTTTCAAGTTGGTTTTTTGTTTTCTTCAAGGAAACGAAGAATAAGCTGAAACTTTAAACACAAATTAACGTTAACCAGATAGTGTCAATATATTTCATTTACAGAGGCAACTCCGTGTAACGTAATCATGTCATACTTGACACGAATATGCTTTTATGGCTATTGTCTTTCTGCAACGTTTTCTACTGGATGGGGTTGCTAACCCTCATCCTTTATCCGGATTTGGGACTGGTAGTAACTGTGGAAGGGCTCCAGACAGACATAGCAGATGGAAATAACTAGGTAAAAAGGGAAAATATATTTATACATGGTAATGCTAAAACTAGAGATAATCCAACAAAAATTAATGAGACTGATTAGTCATTCAATTAGCTAGAACTTAGAGCCTGGTACGTGCGTACATCACTTCAAGTTGCCATACTATAGCAGCCACAGATGAAATTTTTGATTCAAATCCCATAGTGGTCAAGGTTGTGGAAGTGTTAGCGATAGTGGGGAAGATAAGGGTTTGAACATATCATTCAAAAAGTATGTCCTAGTTCAGTAAATTTTGAAAGAGAAAAAAGGTTATGAGAAATTTAGAAGATCAGAATTTGAGCGAAAACAAAGAATAGACGCAGCTGCGCCGTTGCAAACAATTTTAATCCATATCATTCAGTCTAACTATCAGTTACTACTGTTTCGCGGACCCCAACCGGGTATACTAATATTAAAGATTAAAAAGTTGATACGCTAATAGTTTGAAGAGTAAATATTATCTACGTTGCTGCTGATGATTGTAAGCGGTATCATCTAGCCTCTGTGATAATGGCTGCCTAGTATCTTGTTTGTCTTAGTAATAGTTACCTTTAGCTACTGAGAAGTATGTTTTCATGTTGATAAGTGTCAGGTGTACATAGTGTTATTTGTTATCCAGTGGTGAGATTTGTTACCAATACTGGTACTATACTTACTTACGTACTTACGCCTGTTACCCCCAATGGAGCATAGGCAGCTCACCAGTTTTCTCCAACCAACTCTGTCCTGGGCTTCCCTTTCCAGTTTTTGTTCATTCTTCTCATGTCTTTCTCTATTTCTCGGCGTCATATGTTCCTTAGCCTTCCATTTTTCCTTCGGACCGTGAGGGGTTCCATGTGAGGGCTTGCTTGTGATGCAGTTAGGTGCTTTCCGTAGTGTATTGTCCTATCCACTTCCAGGGCGCTTCATTCTTTCTGATTTCCTCCTGCACTGCAATCTGATTTGTTCTCTCCCACGGTACTTTGTTGCTGACGTATCTGGGCCAACGAATCTACAGTA